CCGATTCGTTCTTTTTCACTTCATTATCGCTACCGGAAGCGCTGTCATCACTACTACTACTGCCACTGTACGCCGATGAATCCTCGCTGTCCGATGTTCCTGATGAGCCAGTCGCATTGTTATTATTGTTTGTAGTGGCTTTGACCGGCGAAGAAGTAGCGGCTAGCTCATTGCTTCCAGCATCGACAAGCCGCTCCTTCACCGAGGAAACCTTTGGCAGCTGCTGCTTTTGCTCCTCCTCCTCATCGCTGCTCCCGCTGCCATCGCTATCAGATTCACTGTCGCTGGTGCCGCTGCCACTGCTGCTCCCTGATTCCGAGTACGCGGAGGACTTGTCGTCCGACTCAGAGAGGAAACCCTTCCCGCCGCCAGCACCCTTTTCCTTACCGCCTTCCCGGCCGGATGTATCCTTGGAATGTCCTGATGGCGAATCTTCGCCCGGCAGCTTGTCCTGCATAAATCCAGCTATATTGCGTACCGATGAGTCCGGTGGAATCACCGGAAAGGCGGGCAATTCCTTGTAGCCAGTCGCTGGCATGTTCAGGTAATGGGACAGCGATCCTAACTGGAAGGTGTTGCCATCCCGGTATTTACTCTCCGGCACCGGAGCCGGTTTGCTGGCGAGAAAAACTTGGCGGGCATGCTGGCTGAGCACCGAGCTCGTTCCGCTCGCCGGAAAGATGATTTGGCGCAAAAAACGGGCGCGATCACGGACATCGTAGTTGGGATCATAGCGGGCCAGCGTAAAGACGTACTGACACAGCAACGACGTCTGCTCTGGATTCGTCAGATAGAGTTTAACGCCTAGGTTCAGGACCTGCAGCTTCACCACATCCTGCTCATCGACAAACGATTTGGCCATCTTGCGCAGCACATCTGGGGCAATCAGCGGCACCTTTTCGTTGTATTCGCCTATAAGCCATATGATGGCTGCCCTAGCTGCCGGCACATTGATATAGTCGATCAGCTTGGCCATCTGGGTGATAATCTCAAAGTGCTCGGCGGCTTTCGTTTGCAGGAGACGCTTAATCACCACCACACTTTCGGCCACCACGTGCTCTGAACGGAATAAAAGTTAAAAATTGATATACAAACTGCTTAAAGAAAGCTAAACGCACCGTCATGGTTGGACAGTAGATGCACCAGACCACTCAAGCAGGTCTCGGTAACCTCTTTAATGCTAGATGCACATCGTCCAATGGCCTGAATAGTGGCCGCCACAAACGAACGATCGCTGCTGGAAATGTAGGTTTGAAATTCGCGCAGGATGAGCGAAATACTGCCCGCCGACGCCAGATTGGTGAGAATATCCAGCTTGAGAAGTTTTATGTGCGTGGGATCGCTGGTGCGCACAAAGAACGACTTGAGATGCGGCTCAAAGATCGCCTTTCGCTTGGTGGACATCGAGGCAATGCAATTGAGGACCACGCTCTGAACTTCTTTATGCGATCGAAGCAGTCGTATTAGTGCCTTGGCAATCAGTTGCACTTCATTCCTGGGTGCCACATGATGATAGAGCTGCGCCACTGCCATCACCACGGAGGCATTTCGCGATTGGAGCAGTGGTTTCGTTTGCCTCAACAACAAACGATGATCCACATCGATGTGGTAGCTGTTGCTCGGAGAACTGGGTGTCTTACTGCCATTTCCGCCGCCATTATTATTATTGTTGGTACGCGACTTGTTTTTTTCATCGCTACTGCCATCATCGCTGTGGGAAGACGAGTGCGAGGATTCGTCGTAGAAGCGTTCGTTAACAGGCGTTTCGCCCAAGCCATCGTTAACCAGATCATCCTCATCCGCATTGGGATCAATGAACTGAGTGCGCGCGTAGCGGGTCAACATATTAATGATTATCACCTGACCCCATTCGTCCACATCCAGGAGGAAAGTGCACAGCTTGCGGTAGTTCTTGTGAATCAAGTCTACACGCTCCGGACAAACCTACGAATAAAGACCCTTGGTATACAGAGGGAAATGGTTTTTTGTTTTTACGCAGCAGACCCACCTCGTCAAAGGCCATCACCGCTGATCCCACCACTAGGGTAGTGCGATCCGATAAGAGCTTCTCAATGACCATGACCAGTTCATCCTTTTGATCCGCATCCAGGGAATACAACTTGGGGATTGCATGCGCTGCTGTTTTCCGCACATACGGACTCAAATCCGCGGCACTATCCCGGATGGCCAGCATTACGATGGGCACAATCATGCTGACCCGTATGGAGGATAACACTCGCAGAGCCGAGGCGCGAATAAGTTGATTGGGGTCCTTGAGAGCCCTCTGAAATGTGGAAATGGATAGCAGGGCCAAGTCCTGCTGCTCCTCGGCGTATCTCACCAAATAGACGTAGACCAATTTCTTGACCTCGATGTTCTTGGACACCACATTCTTGACGACTGCCGGAAACAGATCACTGGCATCCCGTCCGCGGGCAATCATCCCAATGATGCGCTTCATGGCCTCCAGCTTGAGTCCATCCTTGTTGCTGTCCAGCATTTGCTTGAGATCATCATGCTTGCGTCCATCGGACTGGAAAAAAGCTGCTCCGCTGGCAGGATCCGCTCCGAATTCGACGTCCAATCCCATTTGAGGCCGCTCCACATATGTGGACATGGCGAAGGGATTGCTGGCCGAGTTCTGCTGCATTCTTGCAAAGATATCCCTGGATTCGGATGACCACTTGACCTTTTACTTTCCGTTCTGATTTTTTTTTTTCTTTCTTTTTTTGTGTGGGAGTTGGCAATTTTCCCTTTCTGTTTTTGCAAAAGTGTCCACTGTGAAACCTTCGTTCTGGATGTCGAGTCCTCAAAACGATCTGGTGGTCAGCTGCTCGTCCTGCCACGCAGCTTGCGAATTTTGCAAGGGATACTATTATTTATGCCGAAATTCTGGCCAATTTATGCATTTTTTAGCTTTCTGTTTTCTAATGGTGGGCAACCATCGATAGTCGCTGCACGACGACCACTAAATATCGATTAACACAAAGCACGAAAATACTGAAACACTTGTAACTGTGATGGAATGTACCAAAAGTTTAAACTAAAAGTTTAAAAGTTCGCACGTAAATAAAGCAATGTATCATATACGAAAGCAAATGCTTTAAACGAAATGAGCGCGGCAATTACTTTGCTTTTAAGTGTTTGCATTGTGGGTTTTTTAAGCGATATAAACATTTGCTATCGGGAGTCGGTATTTTTCCGCGACTATCGGCGCCTATCGTCTTAAAAATTATCGGGAACTGCTGTTCTTCGATATGCTCGAGTTGTCGAAACCTATCGGAGTCTATCGAATCGACTACAACTACGTGGCTGCAGTGCGTTTAATAGCGATTAAAACCAGGCCAAAAGTAACCAGAAAAACGATGGAATCGACGCTCGCCAAGGTACTGCTCCTTGTGGGCAGCCTGCTGATCCTGTGCCACACCAGCCACGCCTTCATCGTCAGCGTAGACGCCCACAATGAGGAATGCTTCTTTGAGAACGTCGAAGGCGGCACCAAGTTTGGTACGTTAGAGATGTGGATTTACGGTCTTTGACAAGGGATTTGAACTGATAAAATGGTGGTGACTTTGCAGGCGTCACCTTCGAAGTGATTGACGGTGGCTTCCTAGACGTGGACATCAAGATCACCGGCCCGGAGAACCATGTGATGCACGAGAGCGAAAAGGAGTCCTCTGGCAAGTACACCTTTGTGGCACCCGCCAAGGGAACCTACACTGTGTGCTTCAACAACGAGCGCAGCAGCATGACCCCCAAACTGGTCATGTTCTCCATCGACGTGGGAGAGGCACCGCAACGTGCACCCGGAGCTCCGGGCGAGGAGGAGGTGGGCCACACCAAGCTGGAGGACATGATCCGGGAGCTCTCCGGCACGCTGACCAGTGTCAAGCACGAACAGGAGTACATGCATGTGAGTGAAGAGAGGAAAGTGGTGCCACCAGCTGCCACATAGTCAGGATTGGGGGATGAGGAACCTTTTATTGGAGGGCTTAGCCATTTATATGTAGCCAAAAGCATATAGCAGCAATTTAGAGAAACGGCATACGGTGGCAATCGAGTCAATCACTGCCACATAGCCTGGAAGCCTCCAGCATTGCTTGTACAGATCCACGTCGGAAGATTTAAGAGCGGAATTGGTAGACTTGTTCTAGCTGCCACATGAACAATACCTAGTGGCGTTTTTCAGATACGTACATATGTGCATATAAAGAAGGAAAGGTTATGTATTTACTATCCACTATGGATAGTGGATAAAGCTAAGGATATGCCCGGGCATTATTTGTATTTATTGGCTGCTAAGGGCCTTGTGTCGTCCACGACTAATACCTCAATTTATTCACTCCCTTAGGTGCGCGACAAGATCCATCGCTCGGTGAACGAGAACACCAACTCGCGGGTGGTGCTGTGGTCCACCTTCGAAGCCCTGGTGCTGGTCCTGATGACAGTGGGCCAGGTGTACTACCTGAAGCGCTTCTTCGAGGTCAAGCGCGTCGTGTAATCCCGACCAGAAAGCCAGGATGGAAGTAGCAAAGGAAGGCGGCACACAAAACTCTGGGGGGAAATGTGTGCACAATGCGTTGCAGTCTCAGATTTAATTTAATTGATTAACATCCTTTTGTAATTAAAATAAAATACCTTGTAAAAAGTAACTAGTGCTTGAAAGTATGTTTCTGTTTCGAGGAATTATTAACAGAGATGTATCGCTATATTAGAGAAATTTTGTATGAAAATTGATATTTTTTCGAAATTACCAAAAATATCTCTTAATGGAAACAGAAGAGCAAATATTTTCAGACACACATTGAATGGCGAAAATGCCACTTTGGGAACGTTTGAATTAAATTAATAAAAATCACTTGTTTTATAAGAAATGTAGAGAGACAAGAGCTGTGGTCAGGAGAAAAGTTTGTCACTTCGAAATGGAAATTCAAAAATATTTTCCACATTAATGAAAATAAATTAATTTTGTAAAGCTTTTGAGTAGCGATGAATTATGGAACTGCTGAGTGGGTAACGTACCAGTGGAAATAAGTTATAATATAATATTTGACGTCGCTTTGCAGCACTGACGGTTCATTTCACATATATTACCAATGTCGAAAGTTTCGGTTCGCAAAAGTCTACTGAGATCGTTTGTGCATCTCTTTTCCATAAGTCGCATAATGACATCTATTTGCGGGTCATCTTCTGCCATTTGGCCTGCTAATCATACGAATCTCCCGGAAAGTGTTTTCGCCCAGCAGATGCTGCAACAATGTCGCCAAATGAAAAAACCTAACGTTTCGGTGGATCTGAATCATTTTGAAGCTATATCAGAGAAGTTTCCCGCCAAGGTATTACTCATTGCAATCGTAGTCACTTAATTATCTTTTGACAATGATTCCATCTCCCCACATTAGTTTGGCATCGATACCTGCCGGGTGAAAACTCAACCGGCGGATCGAAGTCAACACATACGGAAACAGATCGCATCCGCATATCCGGTGATCCACGAACGGACCCTCTTGCTCTACATCAGTTTCTTGGAGCACAAGCTCAAGTTCGGTGGGTACAAGCAAAGAGCCTTCTGTTTAGCGGGGGCTCTCATAGTTTCGAAGAAGCTACACATTTTAAGATTCTAAGTAAGGAAATTTTGTCACCTTATCAAAAGTTAACAAATTGTCTAAAGACTTAGACTATTCTCTATCGCCCTTTTTGATATGCATCGTAAACTTTACAAACTTTAAGCCGGAAGAAATTAAGTTATCGTTTCACAGGCAGCGAGCAGGAAAAGGCAATCTACAAGGACATGACTGTGGTTGACTTTGTGCAGCGCCTTCTGGCGAAGAGATGTGTGTGGTTTTTTGGCAGTGACGACTACTACCACACAATGGATGGAAAAATTGGACACGAGGGCTTCGAGGAGGTGGGCACTCCCGCCGAAAAGGATCCCCTCACTCTGACCTCGGTGCTCAGCTACGATGAGATCAAGCTGGCCGCCCTGCTTTACGTGTCCTGCCACTCGGAGTTTATCAACAATGGGAGAAGAGCGAATGCTGGTGAGGTGACCCAGAACAAGGACACAATCGAACGGGAGGGCGTGATCATTGGACTGATTGGAGCTCGCTTCGAGCGCCCCGATGTGATGGAGTACCAGGATATCATGATTACCGAAACCCAAAACACTCAGGCCAAAGGTTATGGATTGAGCACGATGTCCAGTGAGACTGCCGCACCTGCATCCGATTTTCGTAGAATCTGGCGAGAGTTCTACGAGGAACCCAGGGACTTTATTTACGGAGACACTCCCCGTGATAACGGGCGTTTCGAAAAGGTTTTTGAGGGCTTATTCGATCACCAGGTTATGCGCAAGCGATATGCCATCAGTTTCGACACCCTGCTTTTGGAGGCACAGGATAGAGCATTCAAGGCTGGGAAGCCCGCCTATATCCATGTGGTGGGCATCGGACTGGGCGTTTGGAAGGCGGCTAGTCAGCAGGAGCGCACCTTCTTTGAATCATTTGAGGGACGATTGCGGGCACTTGGCGAACGCCTTAGCCACATCGGAGTGGTGCACTTCTCCTGGTTCCATTTGCCGAGAGTGGGCAGCTTGTACGACGGAGCCACTTTTCCCGTGGACAAACATCCCCAAGGTGGCATTCGCATCCGAAATTCGGCAAGAAATCCCGGCGACAAACTTACGGAGGACATGCTGCCCGTGGTGACCTACGCCTGGGATGGAAATGCCCTGCCTGGCAACGAATTTTGGGCGGTAAGTAAGGGACTATACTAGTGCATATGATTTTTAATGGTGATTTCCCCACAGAATATGCTAGTTAGCACCGGGGATCCAGCAGCAGCCTGCTCCACACTGATCTCTGAGCTGCAAAATCCCCAAATTAATGTGGAGTACATGAATGGAGCCAATCTGCACATTGCATCCGTGGAACACGGCTTGCTCCATGTGGGTGATTACGCTAGGCGACTGATTCCCTAAAAACTATGTGCACATGCATGTTTCGTACTACATATTCTTTGAAATATTATATATTACGATAGTGGGGGACTGATAATGTAAATATGTGTCGTTTTGTAGAGTCTGGACACGTTGATATTTAATCCTAGGCACAGCTGTGAAAACAAACCACCATATACTTCTTACGAATCGATGCCCGCATGCTAGCAATTCCATTGAATGAGAAATTGATTCTGTGTGTTAACCATTACTGAGTTCGTTTATTGAAATTGAATAGAATTATTAGCTGTCAAATGACAGAAATGTGATATTATTGTAATGTACTGCATATAGATAGCAACAAGTAACACAAGATCCCATTTCGTTTCGGCCATGGGTTAAACAATACAATTCCCAGTACCTTCTTACAATCCCGAATCTTAGTGTGTTTGCATTTGTGTGGTGTGATTTGATTTGTTTTTTTTTTGGCATTTTCGTTAAGTATTATTACAAATGAATCATATTTAAAACACCTTGTTCTGTATACTTCTGAAACAGCGTCGTATATCGAAAACAGTGATATAACATTCACAACAACTTTATGCTCAAATATAATATTATTCTTTATCAACAATAGCGTTTTATCTGTAACGGTGCACACGCCCCCGACGAGCAGTGCGGCACTATATAGCCGCATCTCCCTCGAATTCCCACTGTTCTACCGACTGCACTACGTATGTACACTTGTCTATATATATATATATATATATATAATATATATACGATATAACTAGATATAGTATAATTTCGTTACATTATTTTGTAGGTAATTAGTGCGAGAAACAGTACAATAAAATCGAAAAATCAAGCACAAACATGCTCCAAATATGATTTAGTTCAAGGTATATATGCAATAGGTAGGTATCGTTAACGCTTTTAGATTTTGCTTGTATTTCTACGTAATTCATAGGTATATATAATGATGGCAAACCGCTTGAGGATCTGAGTGCTCTTAAAAAAAACAAAAAATAGAAAAAAAAACTCATTTAACATCTATACAATCGAACTTTTGTTACTCAAGCTTCAGACTTACAACTAATTTCCTGTATAACGAATCGAAAACTTTGTTTATATGTCCACCACTTCAGTTTACACTTTCACTTTCAGCCAGCAATCCTATATATTTATCTTATGGTATTTTACTATTTTTTCAATTTGTTAAATGACAGCTTTGAACAAAAATGTTATTTAATACAACAAGCTCTTGTTGAAAGTGAAAACTACAACTGAAATGAACACAACGAAATTGTTTTATATATGGCTTAGTTATAGATTTGCTGTGCAAATCGAAACAAATATACATAGGTATATCTTAAACGTAATGTAACATAGGACAACTACATGGAAGAACAGAAAGTGCCTTAAAGCTTCTTATCAACAATATTTGTTTGTGATCTAATATCCCGGAACCCTAAACTAAATATGAAAATGAACGCGAGATGGGTGAATCGTATTTCCGTGGTACAAAAATTCGTTATATTCATGGTTTTTTTTTTTTTGCCTCACTTTTGGGGAGGGAAGAAGTTAGGGAGTTATGGAGGGCCGGAATTATACCAATAACAGATATAACATACAAAAGCAGCTGTGTTATGCCGTGGCTCGTTAATTAAACTCAATTGAGAACAGCTTTTTGTCAGAGCGGTTAGGCCAATAACTTGGCTTGAGTCACCCAAGTTCGACTGCATATACATATACATACATACACATATGTAATATGCTCTTCTTATATAACATATAACATATAACAGAGCGGCGATAACAAGGAATCACTCGTCATGTCCGTTTATTGTACTGCGTGTGTTGCGTTGCGTGTACGTTGCACGTTATTCTTTGGTGGATGGGCGTTTATGTTTATGAAGGCGCCAGCGCTTGTCCATCCGCCTCCATTGTTCTGTTTATTCCCGTAACCCGTAACCGGTAGCCAAATCGGTGCACCCACATTTTTTCTTTCCACTCCTATTCCGCCACCGCCGTCGCCGCCTTGCTTACTCATCGAAATCGCTGATCAGTAGGCCACGCTTGCCGAATCCCAGCGACGAGACGGCGGCCAGATTGGGCGTCGTATCGATTCCCTCGAAAAGATCACTGGTTGCCGAGCTGTTTAGCGAATTCAGCGTAACATTGAAGGTCGATCTTCCGCCGGCCGTGTGGAAGCGCTCCTGGAGCTGTTGCTGCCGCTTCAGGCGATCCAATTCCTCCCGCAGCGCCTGGTTGCTCGCCCGCAGGCCATCCGCCTCCCTCAGACAGTCACGTAGCCTGTTTGTGGGTGGACAAAATTGAGTAGTTTGTTTGTTTATCTTCGGTGAGCAGTGGGTGTATCGTTTTGCTTAGGGGGAAACCGCATTGGATGTATGTGAAAATCGTACGTTTAAAACTTGAATCACAGGGATAATCGAGAGTCCAGCTCATATTGCACGAGATAGTGGCGAAAAAAACCCGTTCCGAAGGGGTTTTGTTTACTAGAAAGATAACACTCCTATATCAGCACTTTAAATACGCATTTCTACTGAAAATGTGGGATAAAGACGGACGCACTCTGGGTAATTCTATCCCCGATTGCATGCAATACATGATGCGAGCGAGGAATATAGAGTTGATTGGCTAGATCTACAAGCCTGATAGCAAACTCTTTCTTGAACATGAATATGAATTACATAGCTGTAGATCAATAGAAACATGCAGCTCAGTGTACAAAATGCGTACGTATTATGGATTTCCGATTCAGTGGTTTCCCCCTATGACCTAGCAACCCCACTCACGTGTCAATCTCGCCCTGCATGCTCTTGATGTACTCGCACGCCTTGATCAGGATCTGCGATTTGGAGTCATTGGGCGGCGTTCGTCCGCTGGAACTGCTGGTATTCCCTTTGGAGTGGCTACTTCCAGTTGCGCTTCCATTGGTACTCGTACTGCCGCTGGTGCTGGGACTTGTGCTGGCCTCGCTGAAACTGGAGCTGGAGCTCAGGCTGGGCAGCATCTCTTTGAGCTTGAAGATCCAGCTGTTGATCTTGTCACGGCGCCGGCGTTCGACTTCGTTGTGCGTGGCACGACGCTTGTCATCGCGTTTCTTGTACGCCTCCAGTTTGCTGGAGGGCGTTGGGCCAGCGGATTCTGGCTGGGATCGGGCTTGGGCGTGGCACTGGCCGTGGGAGCCATACAGGACACTGGTGGTGGTAGCGTTACCTGGAGTGGGAGGATTCACGGTCTGGGTGGTGGTTATCACCAGGGGCTTTGTGCAGGAGGAAGTTGTAACAGGTGGAAGACGCGGCTTTTCGCTCAACGTATCCAGTTCCAGCTTAATGGCCGCCTTGGTCGGCGGCTCACCCATTAAGCCGCCGGTATCCTTGACCAGATAAATCTCACAGCCGGTGGGCAGCTGCAGATTGGTGGGCAGCAGCGAATGGACATCTAGATCGGAGCCGGGTTCCTGCTTAATGGTATAGTACTCCTGTGAATCCTCCGAGTTCTCTTCACCGCATATGGTGAGGAATATCTGAGCACCTTGGCTGTTCATCAGCTGATTTCCCATGGCGCTGGTTAGAATTAGGCTTTGATGACCGTTGGCAAAGGAACTGCTGACCAGGGCCTCCGACAAATCAGCGGTGTGGTGGTTGGTAATGGTCATGAGGCTGCCAGCTGGTAGATTCGGATTACTGCTGTTTATGGAGGACGAGGACGTGGAAGTGGTGGTGGTGGTGTTGGTGGAACTGAGTTCCATTTCCAGACGTGAGCGCTTTCGTACATTCATTGTTGCATCAATGATTCGGCGATAGGAATCCTCCAATTCGAAGCCCAAATCCCAGCCAGAATCGAATCCGTGTCGCCGGGAATCACGTAACTCTGGATCTACTCGGGATCTCCTCCTCTATTTGCTCCGATCTCTCGTTGGAGGATACTCGGATATGGATGGTATATATCCTCCGATCTGGCCGCTCTGCGGTATTATTAACTACCGACTGCCTCGAGGATTTGATTTGGAATCGGGCGCTGCGGCGGATTTCTGGTCGTTCGTGTTCGCACGGCCATTTAACAATACGATTTGTTGATTTTTTTTGTAACAAAATTATTTTCGTTTGGTTTAGTGTGCCCGCCGGCGGGCAGCAAATAAATGCCGACAAATACACACGGCACAGGTGTTGGGAAAAATACCAAAAGTAATGTTATGTTTTTTGCGCCAATTACAAATAATTTTTTTTTCTATTTAATAATTCCGTGATATGTAAATATAATATAATAATAATAATAATTTGTAAAAAATATATTATAAAGTTGGAAAAAAAACTCGTTTTTAATCATTATTGTTATATATATTTTATATTTGTTTTTTTTTACCAAAAAATCTATAAAACCAGCTGTTAGATATGTGATATATTATATTTTATCTAAAAAAGAGCTGTATCCATTACTAACCAATGGTATTGAAAGTTTAAAATAATTGAAAAATACCAGCTGCGTATACGTAATATCTGGTGGAGAACAATACCACACTGGCGGCCAAAATGTCGTTGACTTCGCAATTTGTTGCGAATTTGAAACGCTTTCGCCTGGTGACCTTCGATGTGACGGACACGCTGCTGCGTCTGGAAGATCCCCTCCACCAGTACCATCAGACGGCAGAGGAGTTCGGGGTCACCGGAGTGGATCGCCGTAGATTGGAGCAATGCTTTCGCCAGCAATTCAAGGCGATGAGCAGCGAGCATCCAAACTTTGGCCGTTACTCGCCGGGATTGGACTGGCAGCGGTGGTGGCTCCAGTTGGTTGCACGAACCTTTAGCTGCGTGGATCAAGGACTGTCGCCCGAGAAGCTGGAGAGGATCGGCCAGCGATTAATTTCGGTTTTTCGGACCAGTGCCTGTTGGAATCATGTGGATGGTGCCCAGGAGTTGGTGCAGAATGTCCGAAATGCCGGCAAGTGTGTGGGCATCATCTCCAATTTCGATTCCTCACTGCCACAAGTCCTGGACGCCATGGGCTTTGCCGGGAAATTCGATTTTATTCTGACATCGTACGATGCCGGTGTTATGAAACCAGATCGGGGGATCTTTGAAATCCCGCTGAAGAGATTGCAAATTCCAGCGGAGCAGGCCCTTCACATTGGCAACAAGTTGGACATGGACTATGAAGGTGCTCGGAATTGCGGTTGGAGCGGATTGCTTGTGAGTGGTGGTGACAATCACCATTCTTTTGCCAGTTTGTCCAGTCTGCTGGAGGTATTGAAAACCCGACCGATCCAATGGTAATCCACCAAAGAAACTCCTCTCAGGAACCTGGTGTTCTCCGATTGAATCATGGCTGTAGTTATTTTTGTAGATTTCTTCGTTTACATTAAGAATGATAACTGGATGTAGAACTAGTGTTATATATAAATACGCGATCTGTATACTCATTTCTTGGGAAATTCGAGGGAGGAGGTTCTGGACAAACATAAACATTGTAAAATAGTTCGTTTAGTAACTAGCTCTACGAAAGTAGAAATAAACTAAAGTGTTCTTAGTTGAATACAATTCAAATATTGTTTCCTATCGAATGTGTAAAAATCTTAATGGAAGTAATCGTTTAAAGTGTGTTTCCAGTTTAAGAAGTAATATTGTAATAAAGAGTTCCTTATTGCAAGGCCATAACTATTCTTCGCCTATAGTTAGACATTTATACATTTAAGAACCTCCTCTCGAACATTTCCGCTGATTAAACTATTCCTGAATACTTATCCTATAGATTGGTGAATATATATACAAACACGCGTCTCTCGCACACAAACCTAAGTACTATTTAAGAACATATTAATCGTAAAAGCTACTTTGTGACCCAACATATTTGGTTTTGTGAGTTTTGTGAAGGGAATGTGCCAGTCCATGGGTTGCCATTATACTATCACTATGTAGCCTTGGTGGCCTTTGCTGGCATTTGGGCCTTGGCCGCCTTAAGCTGCTCCAAATTGAACTGTTTCCGGATTTCCGTGGACACCTGGCGAATGACCGCATCCGTATTGGCTTTCAGATCCCGTTCGAGCACATCGATGTCCACATCCTTGCTCTCCAGTCGCATTTGCATGTCCGAGTAGAAGTCGCAGAATAGCACCGGTTCATCGGAGCCATTGGGCGTTCTCGTGCTGCAGTACTGACCCCTTCGATGGAGATCATCGTTGTTGGTTTTGGCATCCAGGCCCAGCAGACGCCTCGCTCCCAGTGGCAGTTGCTGTTGGATTAATCTCTCGTGGTTCTGCGATATGTGATGCTTTAGCTTCTTGAACTCCTTCACTTCGTTCTTCATGTACTTCACATAGCTATACATCTTGGATGTTTTCTTGGTGAGATTCTCCAGGCAACTGATGAAGTTTCGCACCTGCTGGGTGCGCGGCAGTGTGCTGGGATCCAATCTCTCGGCCTCATCGAAGTGCTGCAGGGATCGATTGAAGTCGTGTTTCATGGCCAGAGCAGAGGCCAGAACCACATGATTCTCGGCCACATTTGGGGCATGTTCCACCGCAGCGGTTAGTATCAAATCGGCATCGGCCAGTCTGCCCATTCGAAAGAGTATGGTCCCCAGACTTAGCAGAGGTATATCCTTGAATATCGGCGGTGCCAGCAAGGCAGCCAGTCTGGCGCAAGGCAGCGCTTCCCGGGCATTTCCACGCATCCGCCAGTAGTAAGAGCTCAGGGTGTGGAACTTCCAGGAGGCCGGATGGTGTTGCAGTCCGTCCACCGCAAATCGGCGGGTCAATTCCACGGTGGCCATGCCCACGTTGGGGTCATGCTCACGCTCCAGAAAGGCAGCGGCCAGGACTTCGGGCCGAAAACTCTCCAGATGATCATAGGTGGCTGGACCCACGCTCAATCGGTGGTAATCGCTGCAAACCGGCTCCATTCCCATGGAGGATGCGCTCTTCTGGATGTGCAATTGCCTCTGGTCCGGAAGATTAATCCTTTTGAGCTGTTCGGGCGTGATCTTCAGGTAGGACATTCGCTTCTCCAGCATGTAATAGTCCATGGCACATTTGGCCTGCTCCGCCAGATCCTCACCGAAACGCATCGAGAATCGTAGGTGCTCGACAATCTGTTCCCGCTTGCGCAGTAGATCCAGGTAGGACCTCTCCACATACTCACTGTACCTGATCTGCTCGAGAAACGCCGCCAGATTCTGAGGCTCCCGCATGTGGAATGGCGAGTCCAGTTTGGGCACGATCTGCTCCTCGCGTAGAACCCAGTGATTGCAGGCCTGGATCATGTGGAAAATGCCAAGAAGCACGGCAAATGCCAGCGGGCACGTGCGCATCTTGAAGGACTTGGACAAGGAGGACCACAAGGATCCGGGAATCCGAACACAAAAAAATAAACAAACTCGCCGGCGTGTGACCAGCGCAGAGCAATTGTTTTCAGTAGTTTAATACTGACTTTACATACCAAATGTTTGCAGTCAGGTATTTAAGGGAGCCCGCGATAAGGTCATACTGAACCTGTGCATTTCGAAAAACGTGCGGATTTTTTGACAATAATTTCGGAATTGTTTCTACCATAGCCAAGTACTTGACGACATGGGTGGGCAGGGCAAGGCGATCAACAGGAAGCGAAAGTTTGTGGGCCGCAAGGCGGATGATCCGGAATTCGATCTGGACAAGAAACAATTCAAGGTGCTCCATCTGAATGCCACCGAGAAGCGGCTGATAATCGTTTTGGAAGGAGCCCAACTGGAGACGGTGAAGGTGGGTCTTCACAACTGTTGCAAAGGCACTCCTGCCTCAGATATATAAATATATTCTTTCATTGCTGTAGGTGCACAACACTTTCGAGCTGCTAAACTGCGATGATCACGCGGGAATCATGCGCAAAAACCAAAGAGATCCGGGATCCTGTCGTCCGGACATCACCCACCAGTGCCTGTTGATGCTCTTTGATTCTCCACTGAACCGGGCTGGTCTCCTCCAGGTTTTCGTACGCACCGAGCACAATGTCCTGATCGAAATCAATCCACAGACGCGTATCCCGCGCACCTTTAAACGATTTGCCGGTTTAATGGTGCAATTGCTGCACAAGTTCCAAATTCGCGCCAATGACTCCTCCCGACGTCTGATGAGTGTCATCAAGAACCCCATTACCGATCACGTACCGGTCGGCTGCAAGAAGTACGCCATGAGCTTCTCTGGGAAACTGGTGCCCAATTGCCGCGATCTGGTGCCACATGGCGACGAGAGCTCTGCCAGCTATGATGAGCCGGTGGTCATTGTCATCGGAGCCTTCGCGCATGGCGTTCTCAAAACGGACTACACGGAGGAGCTGTTCTCCATCAGCAACTATCCGCTTTCGGCGGCCATCGCGTGCTCCAAACTCTGTTCCGCCTTCGAGGAGGTTTGGGGCGTGGTATAGTCCATCGTATGTTTTTCTTAGTTTAGTCATAGCTAGTAGTTAGTCTACATCTATTCTTTTGATTGAACACCATTAAATTAGGTGTAATATCCAGACCTGCAAACTACTTTTCATAAATGTGTCTAAGGTGTAAGACAAAGTCACTTATATATACACGTAGTTTTCTATCAATTCTGATGCCATTGATAACGCATGGCAAGCAAATAGGTCCGTTGAATATATACCTGGTGAATATATACTGGATTACCTACGATTCCTGGTTGTGTGTCATCACCCCAGGCGGCACACACTAACTTCCTTTCCGTTTTTACAATTAGTTTGTTTATTTTTGTATATTTTGCAGTTACAAAAGACAGGCTTAAAAAACTTTAATAATTTTGAATGTGTGTTTACGTTAATTTATGCTTAACTAATTGCCATTTAACCCTGTTCTTCAAAGGGATTCTTGCGATTGCGATTTTTGTATACGTTGCACAATTGAGAGGTCTATTAATTCCCGTGCGGGAAAGGGAAGGTTTAAAGGATGGATTCTCTACTTGGCACCCGGCTTCTTGGTGGCCACATCGGCTGCCTTCTTTTCCGCCTCCCGCTTGGCGGCCGCCTCCTCGCGCTGCTGCCGGATCAGAGCCAATCTGGCCAGGTCGGCCTTAGCCTCGGTGGTTTTACCAGCAGCATGGAGTTTCTCGTAACGCTGGCGCGCTTTCTGCTTTTCGATCTGTTCACGCTCGCGGCGGGAAAGCTCCGGCTTGGGTTGGCCGCCGGAACCGGGAGGCCCGTCGTCCAGCTTAATGGCCGACAGCTTTTGTGTGGCCTTCTTGGTCACCCGGTTGGGGTTCTCGATTTCGATGAGTGAGGCCACGCCCTTCTTGGCATCGCGCGCTTCCGCTTCGGAGTCCTCGTCGGAATCTTCACCAGACTCTGATTCCGAGGAACTGGCCGCAGCGGCGCCCGCAGCTGATCTAGACTTTTGATTGCGATTCACGGGCGCTTTTCGTGGAGCGGGTGCCTTCGGTTTGGAGGAGGAGGAACTGGCTCCGGCGCCGGCTGCGGCATTATCGTCGCTATCTGATCCCGAGCCGCTGGTCTGGTCGCTGTCCTCCTCCGATTCCAGTTGCAGTTCCTCGGGAGATGTGAAATGGCGACTTCGACCCTTGTGGTTGACGAACTTTCCTCGTGGCATGATGATTTACGTACTGATCCCTTCGGTTTCCTGGGTATTCGCAGGTCTCTTCTCCTGTATATCCTATGTATTTGTGTATCGAACTGTTACTTTTGCTATGTTAACGGATTCTTATGGTCCGTTTTTGTCTCGAAAATAATCTATATTTATTCACGTTGTAAAAATTTTTGCACTATTTGCAGTGTTGTAAGGTGCCGGCGAAAAGTGTGCCCGTGCAGTTAACGCACAGTAATACCGTAATAATAATAAGAATCGTAGTACCGTATCACGACTGGCGCCCTCAAGTGTTCAAGTTCAGCGATTAACCGCTTCCATAACCGTTTCAAGGCAAAGCGGGAAATTCGAAAATGTCACCGGTTGATTCAACTTATTTTTCGTTTGCTTTCTTGACTTACTTCACTTGAGTAACATTTTTAATAAAAGCCTACCTGATGTAGTTCCTCAGCATTATAAAAACATTTTGAAAAATTCTTTAGTTTTATACTTTTTTTTTTCTTGTAATTGTTAAATATGAAATATTTAAATACTTTCATGAATACGATATTTATGAATATGAAAATTGCTTACTTCCCTTAATATGCTTATAATCAATCTTTTTATCATCTCACTATAACTAAAATTAAATTGATACTGAAAGACTACAAAAATTTTTGGTTTTGGGAAGTGCGCTCTTCAGCTTCAGAAAAAGCTGAAAACTGCCTAAAATTAAAATAAATAAGGCACACGTGTTGAGAATTCTTATTTGGGCGATGGCAAATTGTAATTTAGTCGTACATTGGGCACTTTTCTTTTTATTGGGTCACCTTCGAAAGAAGGAAAACCGATTTAACTTTTACTCAGTGATTGGTTTCTTTTTTGGAACCTCCATTTTGTCGATCCGCTGCAACTGCAACTGCAACTGCACAGAATCTCCAGATACAGGAAAAGGTGTGTATGTATGTACATATATGAAAGAGTCGCACTGGGATTGGTCTGCTGCTGTGATTTGCGGGAAAACCAGTTTTCTTTCTTTGGTTTTCACTGGCCGCCACAAGTTGCAAGCCAATAATGCGGCATTAATAACCAGAAACAACCGAAAATCGTTTTGCATATTTGTGTCAGCGCGCACATTCCTCGCTATCATGCATCTCATTAACGGAAACTCTCACATATTACTTATTGATTTGGGCGGCAAGAAAAAAAATAAAAAATAAAACAAAAAAAAAGCCAGAAATATAACCAAAAATATCATATACTCGAAAATTTAATGCACGAATTAATTATAAATTCCGTGTGTGCTCGCCACGAAAGCGGCAAACAAATATTCAAAAATTCATGGTAAATGCTGTTCTTCAGCTTCGCTCTTCATTTCCCCATTTTTTTTTTTGGTTTTTTTTGTCAGACCCTTTATTGTGAATAAATGTAAATGAAAGTTCTTTTATTTATTGCTATTACACCGGCGAGATGCTGCTTCATTTTGTCTACACTCTCCCATGCACTTAGAAAGTGCGCCATGCAAATGAGAAGAAATTAGTTAATGGAATTCTAATTGCGTATACGCACTTTCTTGCTGCGTGCGTCAATTTTTTTATATGATCACTCAGATCGGTTGGGGAATAAATGTATGCATGTATGTATGTATGTGTATCTATGCATGAGTATGCGTTGCAGGTGGGCCAGGTTTTCGTAGGCGTGTGGGTTCGAGGAGATGTTTGCACCCAGCGATGGCAGGTTTATTTACTTTATTATATTATTGTAATTTCAGCATAGAAAGGGGTCTACGAACAAGTGGCACTAGTAAAAAAGTAGGGTCCTAGCAATTTAGTTGGCTTCTCCGTTGCTCAACTTCTTGCAGCCACTGTGGACAATCACGAATCGTGTGTTACTTGGACAATGGACACTTCTCCCCACTGAGCTCCAGTCCACTTCACTTTGCTCCGGTTCCCGATACAATCGGCGTATATGTACATGTATGTACATATGTATGTACATATATAGTAGAGCAGGCACTGGATGTCTTACCACAAATGGGTCGATGACAGATTGCGTTGGTTGCTGCGCCGATGGTGATAAAAGAGCGCAGTGTACAAAATCGAAACAAATTCCCGCCTAATATCGTTTGGTGAACTCCTATTTGGATGTCTCTTCTGCTTTCTTTCTCCGTTTGTCTGGGCGTGTAATCAGCGCTTGATATCAGTATCAGTACAAGAACAAGGTGTGTTGTTTTCTTGTTTCTGCTACTGTAGTTGCTGCTGGTGTTGGCCGTTGATGTTGCTGCTGCTCGTTGATGTGGCTGTTGCTGCTGCTGCTGTTGTCACTGCTGCCGCTGGTGTTGCTACTTAAAGAACGTGCATGACATACAAATATGTGCTGCTGCAGGCTCTGCCAATGCTTACTGTATTTTATCGCAATTATTATGCACAAAGGCAGCACTTATTTATCTCCACAGTTCGCCACATCTCTTCAGTCTGTCTGCCCATTGATTTCTGACCAGGCATTACTTAATGTCCTACCAATGAAGCCATTGCTTACGCACCTTATAAATGCATTTGTTACAAGTAATATACAGTAAGTTATAAAGGCATGGAGAATAATAATCTTAATTTAAGGCAACGGGTAGTTAGATTTCTAGTTCGTAAGAGAGAGAGAGAGCATTTCAACTGCGATCTGTTCGCCACGCCGAAATCCATCTTGGATTCTTTGGCGGACCTGGATCACACCCAACTATTTGGCCCAAGGGCTGCTCTGCTCCTCTTGGCCCTGGAAATTTATGATGCTTCATTAGCATTCACAAAGAGTGGACAATAAATGGCCGCAGTATGCCCCCCGTTGAAAATGCTGTTGTTGTTGCATTGGTGTTTGACTTGGTCCAACTGACTTAAGTTAATGTGGCTTAACTAAAAACAAAAAACAAGAACGCGGTTCAAACTGTGATTTGGAATGTTTATTGGCTTTTGCTGGCCGTTTTCGCTAAATGTCTCGTTTTCGGTACGATTCCGGAACAAAAAAAAAAATCCCAAAAACGAATTCAATAAATTAATTTCGTTTTTGGCTCAGCATCATAGAAACTTTAATCCCGCAAAGAAATCTGCTTTCCCATCGTTGTTTCTTTTTTCATTTCATCAAAGGTCAATTTCGCTTTCTATACTCTTTTCATTGCGCGGTATAATTATACCCGTTACTCGTAGAGTAAAAGGGTATACTAGATTCGTTGAAAAGTATTTAAGAGGCAGAAGGAACCGTGTCCGACCATATAAAGTATATATGGTATGGTATGGTATGGTATGGTATTGTATGGTATGGTATGGTATGGTATGGTATGGTATGGTATGGTATGGTATGGTATGGTATGGTATGGTATATATATTGATCAGGATCAAAAGCCGAGTCGAACTGGCCATGTCCGTCCGTCTGTCCATATGAACGCCTCGATGTCAGGAACTACAAAAGCTACTTTTGATGTTAAAATGTTGTATAAAATCAAAAATTTTAATTTTTTGTAATATTTTTTAATGAAAAAAAATTCAAAATTCATGAACGGGTATCTGATAGTCGGGGAACTGTTTCTTAAGTATACGAAATCCTTTTCCAAATTATAAAAGAAGAAGACCTGACTTACTTCTTTTTTAGGAAAAAGGGTATTTAATGTGGCAGACTTGGTATTTAGTAGTGAATCTCCACCATTGAACTTTCACACCACGTGTGGTCTAACCTTTTCTCTCGGAATATCCATAAATGCCAATCCCTTTGTTCGTTCTTTGCTCTTTGTGCCAACCGTCGGATAAATCATACCTTTGGCCAAAATAAATCTTTTGCACAATTCAATTGTGGAGAGGAATGTGTCTGGTTTAAATTTAGTCAATAGAGTCACTAGAACTATTTTAGAACAAGCTGCGAGACTAACATGGCATTCGACACGGGCCTCATGTTCAACTTTCCACTCCCAAAAAGGGTTGAAATTCGTACAGAGAGAGAAAAAATCAGAAGAAATTTAAAAATTAGTCCCAAAATATTGGTCAAGAAGTTTACATGTTAGCTTTTCAAGAAAAACATGATCCAAAAAAAACATTGAAGTATATTTCACATATAATAATATAAAGGGTTGCTAAGTTCAGCTGGGTTTTCTTTGTGCAAATTGAGCCGCAACCTAAATGACCCACAAAGGGCCCTTTTGGCAGAAACTTTCATCCGCATCGATGCGGGGTTATTAATGATCGGCCGATCCATTGACCCCGACAGAAAGTCAAAGAAGAAATAGTCATAAAACGGGTTCCCGGAAGAAAGCCCAAAGATGCTAGCCAAGCTGGGATGCTGCGATGCTGAGCTGATGAATAATTCAGAGCCCTGGGGTTCGTAGGAAACCGTAGCTTTCGGTGAACCAAGCTTCGCCGAACTGAACTGCCTGATCTGACCAAATGGACTAGCCAACATATTTATTTTTTTTTTGGCAATTAGCCGTGGGTCAATAGGTTCGTGTGGTGCGAGCTAATATAAGCCGGTTGCCGATCGTCGGCTAGCTCAGTTATAGACGAGATGAGGAACAGCTGTGTCTGGGCTTTGCTGACGCTTGGGATGTGCCTGGTGGCCACCAGGGTCGCCGGTGAGACCATGATCGAGGTGGACGAGAATGGGGATGAGTACGAGCTGAAGCGATTCTACATTCAGGGTCGCCAACTGAGGGGCGATGGCAGTCAGTCGCAGTGTGTGGTCACGAGGAGGAAGCGTTCGGGTCGTGCAGCAGGATCGGTATCGGCAGCGGCTCTATCGGTCAGTTCGCAACCCGTGCCGGCGAAGGAACATCGTGAGGGAGGAGCTGTTCTGCAGGAGGTGGAGAATAACAATAGACGTTTTGTTGCCCTGACGGGAGTCCACGTGGAGTCACCGCTTCCCCAGGGAGATGTTCACAACGATGACGACGACGATGACGAGCAGGTGGACAATGATGGTGGCAATCAGTCCAGTCAGTATGTGCCCGCTGCCTTGGCTTTGCCACTGCAAAGTCAATCCACTGCTTCCCATTTGAATCAGGGAGTCAGTGTGGTCGCCAATGCCGCCAGTCACGCCAATGTGGCCGAAGATGCAGGCATCGTGGTCGTTCAATCGCATCAGCCGCCCAAAGTCAATCCCGATACCCATGCCGTTTTTGAGCTGAAGCCCGTTCAATCGGATGTTGCTCACCAGTCCGCTGGCATTAGCTTTTATCCCTTTGTGCAGCCCTGGGAACAGCATGAGGATGACTACGATGAGGATGACTACGACGAAGAGGACTACGATGATTTCTACTATGGCGGCAATGGCTTCTACAGAGATCAGCCGGGCTTTAATGGCCTGGGAGTTTTCGAGGAGGAGATCATCAGCGAGGACCAGCCCGTCTCTACGATAGCCAGTTGGTCTACCGGTGAGGATGATAGCGACATTCTGCCCGCCTTCAATAAGCGGCCCAATCAGAAGAACAAGAACAAGAATAAGAACAAACAGAACCAGAAGCAGAAGATTAAGAACCAGCAACAGAAGATCAAACGCCAGCAGCAGAAGAAACGCAAGCAAGAGGCTCAAAATGATGAGCAGCCTGCGAAGCAAAAGAAGAAGCCGCAGCAGCAGGATAAAGACCAGAAAAAGAAGCAGGATAAGGATCAGAAGAAGCCTGAGGAGAATCAAAGCCAACAGGCGATGGACCAGCTTACTCCCGTGGAAGTGATCACGAAGCCCGTGGTCGTGGAACAATCCTCAGTGGTTTCTTCCTCCACAAGTAGCAACATTGCGGCGTCTTCCAGCAACATTTCCTCTTCTTCGGGCAGCAATTCTTCGGATAAGAAGAAAAAGAAGAAGAAGAAGAAGAAGAAGCCTAGCAGCAGCAGCAGTGGCGGCAGCAGTCTCAGCCAGCGCAAGACCAAGAAGAAGAAGAAGAGGCCGTCTAGCAGCAGCAGCATCAGCAGCAACAGCAACAAGCGTCGCCGACCGAGCAGCAGCATTGATTCTTCCAGCGGCAGCTCTCCCATTGGTGGCTATCGCCGCCGTCGTCCGCAGCAGCAGCAGTTGCAGCAGCAACGTCGCCGCAAAACGCAACAGCAGCAGAAGCGTCGCCGGCTGCAGCAACAACAGAAGCGACGCCGCCAGCAGCAACAACAACGCCGTCGATTGCGCAACAAGAATCGTCAATTCTACGGCGATGAGCCCATCATCAATTGCATTTACATCAACAAGGACCCAGCGACGACCACTACGCCGCGTCCCTTCTGGAATATCCTGGGTCGCCAATCGGATTCAAAGCCCAGCGCCACCGAATCCTCTGTAGTCTCTTCGGAAGAATCCCAAACGGATCCCGTGGCCAAGCAGGCTGTTCTTCAGGCCGTTCGTCGCAACTTTGGCGAATTCGGTGGACGAAAGCGCACCAACTTGCGTTTCGTGTCCTAGATGACCATTCCCTATAAGTCCTATTTTTTTTTTTTTTGCCTATTTATTTATTTATTGTAATGACAACCAGCAATTTTTTTTTGTATGATTGAATCCGATGAAAGTTTAATTTTAGAGAGCCGTCTTGTGTGTGGACAACTTATTTGGGGGGCGTTGCATTTGGCTTTATTGATTTCTGCCCGCAGGCGGGTGGCAGGCGGCATTCCAGGAATGGGTGGTCGCAGGACAGGTCAGAAGAGAACAGAACAGGTGTGTAACCTGAATCTGTCGCCCTGTGAAAACCATCAGCTGCACTGAGCCGAATTTCGGATAGAATGCAAAGACAGCTGGTGGAAAAAATAGCCCCTTTGTTGCATACAAGGATGTGTATATGGAAAGCAATCATTAAGCTACATTTTAGTTTGCATCAGGTTTAAACTATTTCGTTTAAATACTCGTGTAGCCCTTTAGGCAGCCCACCAACTTTCTTCACGTGTAAAAGCCTCCTCTGTGGGTTCGCTTTGCCCAGGACAAAGTTGAAATCACCCCCGAGAGGAGAAACGAGAATCGAGAAGCGGGACGAAGAAGCAGAAACTCCGGATATATGCCTCACTGCACAGGCCAAACAATTCCGGGGTAAAGGAGCGGAGAAAAGGGTTGCGGACCAGGGCACGTTTTATGTCTTCCGCCAGTAGATGGCGCTCTCTTTCAACTCAACTCAAATCGCGCAACACTGCTCTAAAAACCACACTCTTTATAGTCTCAATTGAGTGGCATAAAAATACCTATTTTTGATACATCTAAAAATGTTGCGCTAGAGTTTTTCCACTGCGCCATCGAACCTCAAACTACTTTAAAGTAGTTAATCCCGCTTGTTGGTCGTCATTTTTTGTCAGTGCCTTAATGTGAGCACTCATAGTGACTCATTGCGATACTTTGGATCGATATTTCCGTGTCCAGCAGCAGCAGCCAGGCAGCTGTGTTTTTATTTTTATTTTTTTTTTACATATATACCGACATATACATATATACATTCGTGCAACAAAGGTATCCGCAAGATACAAAACCCATACTCGCACAGAAGATTACCCGCGATGGTTTGGCTTCCGCCCACTGGGAAAGTAAAAAAAGTTGGAAAGTTTGTGTTGTTCCCTTTGTGTTTTTTGTTTGTTGGACAAATAAAAAACGTGCGCACACAGGACCTCAGGAGAAATCAGGCAGGGCAGGGGGCTCTGACGTGGCGGCAGGATAGTGGAAAAGTGGGTGTGGCCGGGAGGTGGACTCTGGTGTCAGCACCCACCACCACCCGCCACCCCAGAGGAAGCTTTCCACTCCGAACTCTGGACGAATCAACAATGTCCGCTTTTAGCAAGTCATCGTGCGGCAGTTTGGGGATCTGGGGATACTACTCCGAGCGAGGATGGTCATAAACTGAAAGCAACCAGGGATGAAGGGCTCTCTAATCTGTTGTATATATCATATAGACTATATAGGCAGACATGCAAAGTCATGGGCACATAACATGTGTGTTAATGCGATTCTCTGGGGAAAGAGCCACTTAAACTAGTGAAACAAGAAATCAACCTACAAATGCGTAGGTCAATTCAGTGTAGATACTTTTTAGGATACCTTCAATTCAAAGTTCTAAACCATATTAAAGGGTAAAATCTAGCGACCACATTGCCACATATATGAACTTTTTAATTTCTGTTTATTCTAGTTGTTACGATTTGCTTTGCTTTTCTCACGATTCTTTGTTTTCTTTGAAAAGGGGAGGTTCTATTTTTTGCGCCACTTTGAGGGGTTGCGTTATTGATATCGTGCGACTTTCGCAACTTTATTTATTGTTTCTAGTATTTCTATTAAGTGCCATTAAATTGAGATCCTTGATCTTTGGATCCTTAAAAAGAAAGCAGCTGTTGTGTTTCGGCCCCACTGATTTATGGACACTTAGTGGCCCGTTCTTTCTAGTTCATATCTCTTTCAGTCGTTAAATAAAATGTAGCACACAGGAAAAAATAAAAGAAAAGCCAAACACTCGTGTTAAAGAACATTTTATGGGGTAAAGACGAAAAATATCCAGTTTGATCCCATTTTCTTCAATGTGTTTCTCACTTCCCACTCCTTTTGTTCGACACAAACTCCTGTCAAGGTGTGAGACGCGGCGGGTCAACAACAGATTGCCGGGACAGATGTTTTGGCTGATGATCCCTTTTTTACCCTGGAATGGGCAGGACAGGGAATCGGGATCCTCGAGACCTAGTTACGCAATGATTTGTCCGATTGTGGGCGTGCTGGAACCCTCCGCTTGCAACTTCAAAGTGCCCATAAAACAATCGACCCACACGAGGGTTGGAGGAGAAAGGTGCGCCCATTTAGTAATAATTGGTTGCCTAATTGGGCCATTGGCACGAGGCGATGATGAAGTGGAGCCAGACAGCCAAACAGCCAAATAGCCAGCTCTTTTCAGCTGTCCTTTTTCGAGGGATGCTGCGGTCAAGCCGATCCCCAAGTAAATTATTAAGCCCGATCTCAGCTGCCCGTGCACAGTGAAAATCTCAGTATAATTTAGATTCCATTTTCAATTTAGAACCCTTGCATAAAATATCCTTGCCATAAAATAGACACAGTAATTTAAAGACACTTACCTTTCTAAATATGAATACATCAAAGGCCGTCGAAAAGAATTTTAACCTAAAACCAGAAGGAAAATATAAAATTAATATAAATATAATTAGTTTATTGATAAAAGAGGACCATTATTTTGGATTTAAAATGCAGTATTCCGAAGGCATTTAATACGGCTATGTGTTATTGATAAACAATTGTGTGTGCTTTTTCCGCAGTGCTGGCCCAAATTGGAGCCAAAGTTGGACTGTTTTTGGGCAAGGCACGAGCCAAGAAACCGCAGAAATGCAGCTTGCACTAAGAAAAAGAAGGAGGAGTGGATTGACTACCAAGAACAGGTACAGGTACCACTGCATCATCATCATCATCATTATCGTCATCATTGTCGGAAAAGAGGGAACTAAAATACAGAAACAGAAACGGGAAAAGATCCTGCAGGAGGACAATGACGTTGCCGATGATGTGTTGCAGTTGCAGATAGAATTGCCAAAGGGGGAGATCCTTGATCCTTGCACATTGAGCGGCACGTGCCCCTCGGTTTTCGTTTATTTACGAGTTGCGATCATGTGTGGCAGGGATGCAGCGCGTGCAACGATCCTCTGCTCCTCAATTCCTGGATGCACCTGTTCGCCCGGCCTGTCCCGGCCCATTAAAAACCGAGGGTTGGGGTTTCGGGCTTCAGAGAAACAGGTTCAACGATCGCTACCTGTTGGCCGCTTGGTGTTGCAGCATCAGGATATCGCGGCAGTTGCCAAGGTTGCCGCTTGCCAAGGCAGTTGCAACTGCAGCAGGATGAGCAGCATCTTATTTTGGGGCAGGGGCACAGGCGAGGCAGCTGAACGGAAGGCTTCGCTGCGGCCAATGTGACTCACTTCAATTTACAAAAGTGTTAGGAGCAATTCAAACGGACGTTTCGGCGGCTTCAATTGATCCCAGTGCAAGTTCTTGGTTCTAAAATGAACAAAGCTATGGAACTGCTGAAACCCTTTCCCGCATCTGTCAATTAAACAACCAAGCTGTCCCTCCAAAACCATGTAAGTCAACTCAGGTCCTGGTGTTTTGACGCCCCATCCTAGCATCCCAGTGCCTCGCAGCAACTGACACTCAAGGGGGCAGGAAAATTAAAGGTAAGACACATATATCTATATATATATTTTCAGTAGGGTCCGGGAAGAAGGGAAGACATGTGCATGACTGCTTAATCTAATTTAACTGCAATGCCGGGGACGTTTTAATAGGAAAAAAAAAAAACAAGAGCGAAGGAAAAAATATAAATGCAGCAGAAGTCAACCCCATATATACAACTTAGTGTGCCTTATAGCGGCTACCAGCTACCATTGTAATATAAAGAAGAGGGCCCTGAAGAAAATAAGGAAAAACCTGCGGGAATGCAGAGAGCCAGGACAGTACAAAAGCAATTAAAGAAAAGATCATGATGATGTTGATGATGGAACAGGGAAAGATATATACCATAAAGGTAGAGCACACTCAACCGCAGCGCCGGAAGTGCACACAAAGAGATAGAGATGGCTAGATACGAGAAGATACTTGGATACTACAGATACCCAGATACCCAGATACTTCAGATGCGCAGTGGAATACAAAAAAAAAAAAAAATACAAAAAAAATACAGAAAAAAGGGAAGGGCGCCCGAGAAGATCAAGTCCAAAGTCGGGGGGCATCCCGACGTTGCAGTTGCAGTTGCACTTCGCGCTTGAGAGGGCACGTGCCCCTGCTCAGTCGAAGGGCGAACCCACATGACATTTTTTACCTCCTAAACCTGAACGCGAACCCATTCCCGCTTCTCCCTGTTGGCCATCTATGCAGTACAGATGGTGGCCAAGCCAAGTCTTAAGGCGCTGGGTCCAGCTGCTGCCAACAGAAGTTCTTGATGTCTCTGATAAGTTCACGACCGACTGGTTTTCCAAACTTGGGCTATTGCATTCCTTAAATTGGCTTACTATTTGTTACTTTACAACGCAAGCGCTTGTCTTGGATTTGCTAATCTTAATTGATTGAAAGAGGCCAAGTCCCTGTTCGAGATAATCAGTAGAGTTCTGAAAACATATTTTATTGCTAGCGGAAAGACAAGGACATGGCTTCTCGTCCTGGTTTAATCAGCTTAGGAAGCCTCGAATCGAAGAAGAAGTTCCACAACTGCCCCTTGGATGCGACCCACTTGTAATATGGTCAAGTTCTTAAGTTGACATTGCACTGCATCAAGATTGTGACGAATGCGGAATGATGTGTTATGGCAGCTGGTCATTTTGTCAGGGTTTCGTAATTTCCTTGGCTTCCGCCTCGTCCTTCTCCTTTTACATATTCGTATTTTCTTTTCTCCTCCTGTTTTTCCCTCCTTTTCCAGAGGTTTGTGGGCAACGCTCGAGCGACTC